GGCAATGTTGGTTAAGATTACATTTGCTAACTTGATGCTAACTTGTGAAACTACAGATGTGAAAATAATTCTCATATAATATTTTGTATTTAGGATTTACTGTTTGGGTGTATGGACAAATGGTACGTATTCTTTTTTTTCCATTGCATCACCGACTACAATCTAAAATAATTGCATAAACATGATAAGGATCAACAAACAATTATACACATACATAAAAACAAACATACATATATATACAAGATAAGAATCTTCTACTTTGACAATTATGATAAAATGATCTATCCCCAAGTTTTCTTTTTTCAAAAAAATTACAATTTCACTTAAGGACAGGTAAAAAAAAAATTTTTTTAAGTTTTAGTCCCATACCTTACAGAATGAAAACAAGGGGCCATGAGCCACAACACTCACCTGGTCATTATATGACCTTGATCGTCCATTATAACCCTACCCTACCCTCGGGGGTCATGATTTGAAAAAAAAAATCTACAAATTGCAATGAAGCTTTCGCATAAGTTTCAACTCTTCTGGCCCAGTGGTTCTTGAGAAGAGGATTTTTTGAACTAATCATTAATTTTTCACTAATTCTTAATTATCTTGCCTTCAAAGAGGGCGTGGTCCTTTATTTGAACAAACTTGATTCCTTTACCCAAGGATGCTTTGTGGCAAGTTTGGTTGAAATTGGTCCAGTGGTTCTGCAGAAGAAGAATGTGAAAAGTTTACAACGCCGACGACAGACACCGGACAAATGTCAGTCAGGTGAAGTAAACATGCCCCATCCTCATTTTGTGTGACAAAATTAAATTTATATCCATGCATACATTTATTCAGCATCAGCCATCTAGAGAGGTCGGGTAGATTTGGACCACTTGTAGGTGCAGACTCCATTTAGTTGAGGAAAAGTTGGTATATTTCTTTTCAGAACGAAATGTTTGGGAATTTCAAATGTGATTTTGGATTACGTGCATTTGAAAATGTATAAAAAGTTGGGTTAAATGAAGAATATGAACCATATTTTTTTTTTTCATTTTTAACACTGCAGGACGATGAGAGATATCTCTCATCACTTTGGTACAATTTAACCTTGAAAATCTAAAATGTTTTACATGTTTTTACATTGGAAATAGTCAAAAGATTCTTAATGCTACTGATCTAGAAAAAAAGAGAGAGTTCCTGATATTGTAAGAAGACTTAAATTTTCATTGAAAGCATCTATTACCATGTTAAGGTCGCTTTATATTGGTGTGTTCTCTTAAATGACTATAACATTTTTTATTTTTTAGAGAAAAATGGAAAACGTGGTATTGTTTTTCTTGTAAGAGCATGTACTTTATAAATCTAAAATAATATAATGTAACTAATATACGGTACCAATTTTGATGCACCAGATGCGGATTTCGACAAATTATGTCTCTTCAGTGACGTTGGAAATCCGAAATATTTAAATAAAAATTTTTTTTAAAGAACTGAAAAATAGTAAGAAGACTTGAATTTTCATAGCAAGCATCTATCATCATGATAAGGTCAGTCAAATCGATATTGAAGTGTTCCTTAATTTACCACCTGTTTTTTTTTCCTTCAATTTTTCAATGAAATATGGCAAATTTGGTATTGTTTTTTTTCTTTGTAATAGCTTACACAGTCTAAATCTAAAAATAATATCTTAATTTCCAGACAATCTGGAAACATTAAAGGAAACAGAAGACAGTTTAGCACTCAAGGTCAGGTCTAAATGCTGGAAAAAAGGAGGAACTTGTGATTTGAGGGATCAGGGTTATAAATTACAATTCATATATAAGACAATGAAGTGTTCCCTCACTTCATTATAAAATACAGGGATTACAGAAAATAATAATAAAATGATTATAATATTAGGTTCCATAGTTAGGTATTTGCATACATATTGTACATGTATGATTTGGTAATTTATTTTAAGTGTTTATTTTTAATCATACAGTTTTATAAAGGAAAAATATTGATTTCCTATCTACTGTTATTAAAAAAATTTCTTGTCCAACCCTAATGAATGCCAAAAAAAGTACCTGCCCCATCATACTTTGCACTGAACGGTCCCAGCCTGGTGAAAATATCGCATGGCCCCTTGCATGTATATTGGGAATTAAATCTTGTTCTAAAGAACATTTCAAAAGACCTTGTGAAACTTACATGTACAAAAGGTTTCATATTGCTGCTTTGAAAAAAAAAAAGTGTTAAAGTTCATTTTCATTTTTTCGGGATCAACTTAATTTAACACCATACATCTCGCGAATTTAGATAAAACTGTATACACACATCATACCTGACACAACGAAATGCCAAAATAAATTAATATATATATGGAATTTGTTACTATTGAACTGAGGGGTTTGCTATTTTTCATTCATGTAAATGAACTCTGGATAATGGCGAGAAACTCCGCACTTTGAGGTGACTAAAGTACGATGTTTAATCAATCAAAAATGTCAAAAGTTTGATACTTTACGTTAATAACGGGAGAGCATAGTATCATCTTAACACCTAATAGAGCATCTGTAATCAACGGTAAAATGTTAAAATGAGGATGGTAACGTGTTTATGTATAAAACCATTCTATACTGAGGCACTGGGTCATAATAAGCCCCTGTGTGCATGATGCATTCATATTTTTCAAGTTAGAAATGGCGAGTTTGGAGATGCGATAAACAATCTTCACCTGTTTATCACTGTCATTGATAGATCATAATTATCTAATGAACCTTTACACATCGCCAGCAAATTATACCTTCCCGGGTACAAACGACTTCAGGTGCAAAAATTGGAAAATAGTGTCCACTCAGTCTTTGAAATGAATACCGAAGTCGCTCCGCAGGGACCTACAGATCCCGAGAAAACTCCTTTGGGCGGTAACACCAGTTGTGGACGTGAACAGGTAAATAGTCGGAACTTATCTTTGCTGATCAAAGAGAGCGATGCGCCGTGGAGCCATGAAGGTATTGCTCGTTATTCCGGCACCGTACTTTATGAAATATTGAAAAGATGGACCGGGAGTCAAGATTCCACGATTGTGGTATTTCATTATTTATGCTGGCAGGAAATGGTCAGCGACCGACAACAAAGGTTTATGATCGCCAAATACACACGATAACATATCACAGGTTTCAATCTAACTACATACATGTTTGTTCTGTATCATAAATATGATGTACATTTAATAAATCTAAAACACATTTAATTTGAATTTTCCTACAAAATGGTGTAACCCCCCCCCCCCCCCCCCCAAAAAAAGTAAAATACTCGACTGAATTTGTTAAAAAGACTAAGTGTATAGATGTTACGAAATATTTCTGTAGAAAAAAAATAACCTAAAAGAACACACAATTCACTAAGGCTTTTGTAGAAAAAGAATGAATCATCCAACACTGTCAGCTGCTTGTATAAAGGAAACCCTGGACAACAAAACTGTTAAAACAAAAAACGGTTTAAGATCGGTAAGGAATCGTGAGTCTTCCCTCTTCTCCCTACATGGCGGTGACAAATCACCTTAAAAATCCGATACCTTAGACGAAGCGCTCTGTCATTGCCATTGATTTACGAACCTAATGCCTGTCGTTACTGGATTAAGAAGCCCCAACGTGCGAATATTATTTGATTTGAGACCCTTTAAGTCCCTTATGCCCGTAAACTAACTGCTTTACCATTGGCCTGATTGCATTATCGCCCTGAAATAACACATCGTCTTTTCTTCGCTGTCATAGAAAATTTTGCAGACTTCGTCTTCTACCCCTCTCTGAACCCTTGCATCTTCAGAAAATTATACGTACTTGATATTTTTCCCGCGGTTTGATATTGACCATTAAATGTCTCTAGTTTGTCATGTTCTGTCTAATATGTTTTTTTTCTAACCCACTCTCTTTCACAACTTACAAAACTTGCACATACTTTTGAGATGTCGATTCGAACACTCATTGTTCTTTCTCCAGTACGTTCTTATTCTAGCTCTAACGATTGTATTTGGTGTGAACACGCTTTCTCAGGTGGCATCGAAGACAAACCAAAGGCGACATTCGTAACAAATTTCCCACTTACAATTGCAAAACATGCAGCTACCCCGCATGTGCTCGGTTGAAATGAGAGCTGGATAATCCAAAATAACAATACCGTGGCGAATTGTAACTGATCCTTTGGCCGTCTTTAACACACTAGCGTGAACAGCGTTCTTAGTTAAGCAACGAGGAATAAACCAATCCCATTCACAATTATCTGTTTGGTTTTTTTTTTTAAACCTACAACTTCTCCATTTCAAATGAAAAATGTGTGCAGTTTAAGAACTGCATCTAATTAAGAATTATTTTCCCACTTTCAATTCATTTAAAAGAAAAATAGTAAATAGATATATATAAAATGAATACGAAATAGAAATCCCAAGCACTCTAATATTTTTTAAATTTAGGCATACATTTATTTAAGGTTAATTCATTTATTTGGTATCAATTTTTTTGTATTTAGTCATATAAAATATTTATATATATATATATATTTTTTATTTTGAATTAATAGTAAGGAATAAGCCAGTTCTAAGTCTCATTGTAAGATAGGCTCATATATATATATATATATATATATATATATATATATATATATATATATATATATATATATATATATATATATATATATATATATATATATATATATATAAAATACATGTGTTTCCCAAAATATATCTAGTTTTATATCCAATGTGAGAGTAAAACTTCATTTTAGTATTCAAACATCTACGAAAGATGGCTCTCTCCTGTAGCGGCGGTTTCGCGGTTCTCTCATTGCCGTAAGGTGTGACAATTCCCGGTGCTCTTGACAACTTCTCCCTATTTAGGTTGCCCTCCAAGCGGACAGGTGCCCGATTTTTTCCACGGCTTCGTTCCCTCTGTTGTCAAAGACCGCTCTTTCGTCCCCTCTCCACTGAAACCTGCGAAAGGCTGATACTGTCTGCCTATAAACAATGAACGATCGATTTCTACATGAATATTCATTTTGTAAAGGTCACGTGCGATATCCCGGTTGCAAGTTTCAAAAGCATCTCGACCAATTGCTGATGACATGTTATGTTAAGAATTAAAGGTTCAATCGGAAAAGAAGAAAAACTGTCTCATCGCTAAACTTCCGAAATCTGAACAAGTGACTTGGAGCTGATATTTCTTTGGCTTGTTAAAAAAAAAAAACAAGGAGCCCAATGAATATGACATCCTTGAGTGAGTTTCCCCCGGCCCACCCAGGATATCACTCGGAGGGGACCAGGGCGAGTCCTAGCCCCGCTTCGCTTACCGAAATGATAAGTCGAAACAAATTCTTGGAAGGTAAGTGATTAAATCTGATTGATACACTCTTTGATGTCAATTTCAGCAGTCAATTTCCTTAATTTCATTCCGGTAGTCCGATACCAATTAGCTTGTCGGCTTTAATATTTCAGTTGATACTACCCTTCACTTCGTGATTGGAAAATACAACGATATCGTGATGCAAATCAAATTAATTTTTTCGCTTAATATAAATTAATAATAATAGACCAGGTTTGTTGGAATTGGGTATTATGTATAACGATTAGTGTTTTTTCCTAATCAAGTTTTCTATACAATCAACATGGAGGGACAGCGAGGATTAAAACTTGGCGAAGCGATGTAGACTTCTTAATTAACTTTCGACTCCTCAATTGATTTCTATTGGGGCATCTAAATTTAATATAATGGGAAAACGCGACCTGATTCTGGAGTTCATTAACAACAAATTCCCACCAAGATGTGGAGTGGAGTGAAATCGTCCGAGTGTTTTCCCTCAATTTACTAAAAGACGGAACCCTCGTTTTACTAAAAGACGGAACTCCGTATTTAGATTTTTTCTGTTTGAACTCAGTTTGAATTCTTTTTATTCGAACTGATAGGAGGATTTTCTATTGTCATGGTACGTTCTTTCAATTTTAAATTTCTGTTAACATCGTATACTAGTTAATTTGACATTACTAGTTTACTAGTATTAGATACTCAGTGCAGATTCAATGTCTCATTTTTAAACAGAAAGATGGCATTAATTATCAAAACCAGGTTAAGTCTGTCACAATCTAATTATATGTTTAAAAAAAATACCGAATTAAAATCGTTCTAGAATATATGGACGCGTTCAGACAGTAAATGAACAACGTCGATGTCGATCTTCGAAATTTTTGAACTCGAGTTAAAGAATTAATATTATCAAGGAGCCAACCTGCAATTTATTTAACATTTCTTATATAATATATAATTTACTTATTATCGGGGAAGTACGTTTCCATACAATATGTTTCCTTTTTTGTCAAAAAATTTAGATCTCGTCATATTATAACTAACTTTGGCAACTAAGCTGAATGGTCAAATTGCACCTTTCTTTGTCAGTCCAAGAAAGTTTCATCGAATTCCATCATAAAGGCGAGAACAAGGAATAAATCTGGATTTTTTTTTTTTTTTTTTTGGTTAGAATAGAATCGGAGAAAATGTATGTCACATTTCGGCGAATGTGTGCGTGGGCATGGCGCTTTCTGTTACCTTGGTACTTTAATTGTTGTTGTCCCATAAAAATATATATTTTTAACACTTAAAACGATATTTAGAATTTTCTATCTCTTCTCTTTTTATATACTTTTTGAAGATTTACCTGTAAAATTGAAAAAGAAATTACTTTTCGCATAAAAAAAATCATGGCATCAAAATTCCTTATAAATGCAGATTTTTTGTTCGGAAATTAGACATTTGCTCTGAAAAATTGATTTTAGATTGGGACAATCCTTGTTGGAGTTCCGGACTAATCCTCTTACGGTGTGAGTCCGGATTTGTGACAAGATAGAACTCCAGGTGTAATTAGCGCCCGATAATCGGATGTCAGCTCCTCTGATAAACACGGCGAAACTGCAATGTACCTTAGGCAAATTTTTTTTTCAACATAATCATATAAAAATTATAAGTATATATATTCATCTACAATTTTTTTTAATGAAATGATATGTAAAAAAGTGAATTTATAGTTGTTATTTATATTTAATGTTTTAAAGAAATCTAAAGAAAGTCGATGGTTAGGATGACATATCAGAAAAGAAAAGAAGAAAACAACATTTTTTGTGTTTTGCAGTCTTCCCCGCCCTGTATCTTCTATTTATTTTGTTATCACCTGAAGTGAAAGACAGGGACGTGAGGGGTTTTCTTTGAAGTTGACAATGGCCATAGGTTGAAGTGAATGAATTGAGTTTAATGAGAAATTAAACCTAATATTTCCCACATTTGTCACCGAACGGACTGATAGTAATCGTGTGGCCACTGATGTGTGACGATCTAACGGTATCCCCGCACGTGCTCGCTAGGTAACTATGCGTGCAGCTTTTGTTTCTGAATGCACCTGCCCATAAAATTTGAAAATGTGACAATAATTTGGATACAGTTCGTCTGTAGTTCGCTCTTTGTAGAATTTTTTGTAATCTTTTAAATCAACACTTGCCAGAAAAATCCGAGCGAACGTTAAGCGCAGGGCCATTATTTCATAACACGCCGTCAAAAAGCATTATTTGATACACTAAACGGCAGAATTCCCAGTTTTAATTACAGACCTTAATGAGGAATCATTAAATGAAAACATTTATTTTGTGCTCAATCAAATTTCGAATCGGTCCCGTGAGAGGCTAAGGCGTCAAATATATACAGATGAATATTGAAACAAAATCGAGTCCATTCAAAGGCCACCTAATGCTGAATGTTTGCCGAAGATCGAGTATCATGTTCGCTTAAATGGGGATCTCTTAAGATAGTTCATGACAAACTTTTGTAGCTTTGAACACAATTAAAACCTTTTAGGACCGAGATGGATAACAAATGAATTTTGACAAATTAATTTCATCATTCTAAACTGAAATGGATTTTGTGTGCATAATTTTGGTATTTGCAAATATACCTTTGCGTATTTTTTAAAATCTAAATTATGGCTATTTTAGAACATGCCAGAGACTTCTCGAAATCCAGTTTATTTATCCTATTAAAAACAGAAGAGTAATGTCAAATAAAAGAATTTTGCTTTAAACAATGGGAGATGATAAGAAATTGAAGCAACTATATTGTAGTAAATTTTCTGAAGAACAACCACAAAAAATTTGCATCCTGTAGCCGGAAATGATTTGTTGATGTTATAATGACACGTGCCGACCGGTGAATTTATTCTTCGCTATGACAAGGCATACAGGTGTAATTTAATAAGCCGTGAAGACGAAAAGATTCGGGGGGAAAATCAATGAATAATAAACCTTTATCAAAACACACAAAATGTTCTTCTTTTTCTCAGTGATATCAATCAGTTTTAGAAAAAAGATTTTCGGTAGAACTAAAACAACTAAATGTAATTGGTTGAAGTACTTGGTCCCCTGTTTTCTGACAATAATTCTTTGGCCAAGTCACAAGTCCGTGTTGACATTTCTGCAATACCTCCAGATGGGTGGCGCGTGCTTGTTCCATTTGAATAATTTTCCACACGAACGGAACGCGACTGCATTACTTCATTTTTCGGCAAATATGGTGTTTTGCGCGATGACGGAGTGTCAAGCACGTGTATTGGGCATTACTTGAGAAGCAGCGGTAGGGTGGCATTGTTGGACACAGAGTTGCCATTTTGCTAAAATTCCTATGGGGATGGTCCGCTCATTAAATTTACTTGTTATAACATTTTGTATTCTTAAATTTTACGGTGAATAAAATCTGTTCTTATTTGCTGTTCATCTCCGCGTAAAATGAATGAAAAGTCAGAGATATTAAATTTCCTGATGCGGATAAAAAAATATGAAATCTTTCAAAATATGAATTAATACTTGGGGAAAATCTCACTGCTCGTAATAAAAAAAGGCAATGCAACTAATTTATTATATTTTTTATCGTAGCGATCGATTCATAAACAGTTAGTTTCTCTTCATTTGTGATCCCGAATTTAATAGTCTTCCTGTGCATTATTATTAATTTTTTTTTTTTTTTGTATATTCTTTTCTTTATTCATTTTTCTCTACATTGCAAAAATTAAGACAGAATAAAAATAATTTAATTATTTTAGAAATAACTGATTATGCATCACAGGTGATTCTTTTTCTTATACTTGCATTAACATATTTCTGTCAAACACGTTTTGGAAGTGGACGTTTTAGACTGCCCAGGCCTATATAAAGATAAATAAATAGATAAACTTTCTTCAATCAGACACAGCAGTAAAAAATGAAATAAAGCAGCATAATACTTTAACTGTACTTGAACAAATTCTCACATTTCAGGAGGACAGCATGTCTTCAGCTCCTTTACTAATGCTAAATTCATATCAAAAATATTTTAATCCTACTTTTATTAACATTTTGACTAGAGACAAACACATGATATTAGTTGTTTTAAGAAGAATTTTTATCAAATGGAAACCGATTAACGATTGAAACAGTTTAGTATACTACCCTTATATTCAGGGGGAAGTTTAAAATAGACCTTACAACTACTTTACATATACCTATCCTTATATGTATAACTTGCAGTAATCTGCGCCAAATAAATCTACATTTTCTATACTCTCTCAAATAGTTGAGACAACACTGACACAAGTAAAGTGATTTTTAGCTTGACTGAAGATCGGATTCTGGCAAAAATTAAAAAAAAAATCGCTGAAACTTCTGTCGATGTTGAATCTGGGTTTTTTTTTAAATCATATAGACGACAGGCATCGTTAACTCATACTTAATTAACCCTATGAAATATATAAAACAATGCATTGTAGGAAAAAAATCTAGCCCCATATGGCACTTCTGGTAGTGTTAAACAGTCATGCTTATTCATTGCGTTTGTAACTTGTGTTTATCCACAAAGACGTTCTGGATTTATCGTGTAAGGACGGCTATTGTCCCCGCCCCGGGAACATCACATTAAACCCAGTACCGTCATCAACAGATGGCCAAACAATGCCACGAGAACTAGAAAACTGGTGTCGGTTTCAGGCACTCGCTCGCTCTGCTAAACTACCCCTGGAGCCAAAGTTATCAATTAAAATTGGACTAGGATCGGGAAAATGAACTAGCAATCAAAGTCTATTTACGCCAACAAATCCCATGAATGCCTAATTTATGTTTTTTTCGTTGGAAATTTGCATACATCCAATTCTTTTTGACAAAGCCACTCATCCCAATTTTCTGGAAAAACAAAATCTATCTGTTCGTGTTGTTGTCCAATATTTACCCAATTTGATGAATGAGGTTTAATACTTTGCGTGGTGCGCAAAATAATTCAGCCGTAAAATAAAATTTGATTAGATATATTGAGTTCAAGTTTCCCAATCACTAGGACTAGAGAAATGACACATATCTTTTGATTAACATGTAATCATAACATAAAAAATATTTCCGTTCCTCCAGACAAGGTACTCAGAAAATTACAGAATATCATCTCCTGCACAGGGAATAATTTTTATTATAGAATACTTATCATACAAACCTCTGTTCAATGACCTGTGATGTTCATATATTTCCAAAATTAAAAGGATCATTGAGAATATCAAGAATAAAATCAGTTGACGAAGAGATTTTTTCTTAAACAAGGTAATAAATTTCCTAAAACAACGCTCAGAGAAATGTCCATCGGTTGTTACAATTTTACTAAAAAAAAATGCTTTAAGTGTAATAGAATAAACACAAAAGTATTGATGAACATACAAAAAAAATTTCAAATCCCCTGTATTGAACATTTACTTCCAAAATCAATTAACACCGAAAAACCAGCAAGATTTCTTAAATCTCAACACTTCATTCCAGAAAGTGCTTTCATTTTCAAAGAGAAACGTCGCATGTCCATGTGCGTAAATAGAAATTCAAGCTCTAACACAAATTCTTTGCAACATGTTTCTGTAAGCTTGAATAACTACCTATATCAAGTTTTCTTTCATTTCAATTCAACACCTCTGTTAAAAGTCTAAAAAAAAAATAATTATAACTATTGAACATTGAATTTTAAAAATGTACCACTGTATAATATAACACTGTATGCCTCTTTTACAGCTGCTATACCAAAATGTGCTGGGTGCGGGGAGCCGATCTTGGACCGGTTCATTCTGAAGGTACTGGACAGGTCGTGGCACTCCCGTTGTCTGCAGTGCCATGATTGCCATGTCAGATTGAGCGACAAGTGCTTCTCCAAAGGAGAAAAGGTCTTCTGCAAAGACGACTTCTTCAGGTCAGCTACCTTTAAATACGAAATACATCTAGTCTGCTTTAGAATTTCGTTAAAAGCAGGTCTGACTTTAGCTGCAGATCTGTAGCTTGCTGGTCTGAAAAAATTGGGATGGACGACCAGAGGGCTACACTGTCATCCACTGCCTTCCAAAACAAAAATTGTATGTGCAAGTCATGCACGAACTGCGATGGACCGAATTGTCTTGCAACCCAAAATAGGCGAAATTTTGGAAGGTCTCAATTTCAGGCTCATGATGGCTATTAACAACGAATTTGGGGGAAATCTTGTTATGGAACTAGTAAAAGTATATGTTAGGAACACACGGTTAGTAATATTTTGAGATGGCAGCATAATATATACGGAGAAATAAATCAAGAAAAAAGCGCATTTTTGAGCACAATAAATAAACGGATGGCACTATAGCTCCTTAGCCGTCCATCCTATTTTTTTCTAGACCAGCGAGCTACAGATCTGCAGCTAGGTTGACATAATCAGAGAGACAAAATCTTGGGAAAATTGTGTTGATGCCTACACTAAGACAACTTTTCGGCAATCTAAAAATAACAGAAACCACCTCTCCAAAAAACTGCAGTAAAAATACACGTCAATGTACAACATTCTTTTGAATATTAATTTGGATAGATGCAAACTATTTTGTATGATATGGTGTCAAGTAATTAGAGAATTGACAGATGTTTTACAAATCTAAGCCAATTAACATATTTTACTCTTTTCTCTGAAATGTTAATTTAATGTTCAAGCTCGCTCCGATTGTTTTCGTGCATCTATCACACTTGACATGAAGATAGATCGTACCTGTGTTTGATAGCTTAGAATTTTAAACTAAATGATTGAAAGTTAGAAACATCATTTGAATTGTCTGTGAACTGCCATGTGTTACATTTTTAGCTCTCATCAATTCCCCAAAAGGTACATGTGTATTACGAAACTTTTGAATCTACTGGATGGCACGAAATATCAATTTTCAATGGAAAGGATTTGCTGTCCCCATCCATCGCTAGTTAATGCATATCACCATTCGAAATTCTTGCATAATAATAACGTATTTATGCCTAGGAAAACAATTAATTATCCTAGTATTTTTCGCTCGGTGTAAGATGGAAAACTATATCTCCAAGATTTCCTTTATACCTGTCTTTCAGAGATATTCTGCCTGATAATGTAGCAATCTATCAATACAGGGACTTTCTAAACAACTGTTGTGATCGGTCGATAATTGCAATAATTTCTTTCCGTCAGAAAAAAAGGCGATAACAGAGAAGTTGTAATCATTAGCGCCAGACACGCACATTTGTGCATCAAGTTAGAACTAGAATCTAAATTTTTAACATAAAGAGAGAAGAAAAAAGTCGAGCTGAAGAAAAACTGTTACTTTAATTAAAAAGAGAAAAAAAAATTTAGCCAAACTTTTCCCCTAAAATTCTAATTTAAACCAAGTCTTCTCAACTAATGAAATGGGTCGAACCTGGAAAAAATAATTAAATAACAGTAAAAGCATTTGATTTCTATCCCTTAAAAATACCGTTTCAAATCTTTGAATTGATGAACATGGAATTGTTTGAAACCTCAACAACTCTTACTCTTTCATCACTGTTTAAAACATCAAAATTAAAACAATAAAAATAAAACAACAACCAAAAAAAAAAAAAAAGTCAAAAGAAAGAAAGAATTCAAAACATACACACATAAAACAAAACAATTTGGTTAACATCCTAATTTTTTTTAGGTATGAAGTTATGAGAAATGAAAAAGATTGTCAGCTGTAGCTATTTACAGCACATACTAAGATTTTGATCTTAAATAAATGAAATTTGGAGACTGCTTTTTATTTGAAACTTTGCACTTTCACAAAAATGGTTAAAAATTTGAGCACAAAAATGTATTAAAAAAGCAACAAACATAACGTTTTAAAATTATTTGTAATTTATAACCCCCAAAACATAACTGATAAATGCTCTAACAATGTTCAAAATAAACATCTACTTATCTGATTGTGTATCATAAAAATGTTAAACAGTAATTCACAGAAATGTATGTTGAAATACCATTGCCAGCAAGAATTTGTAGATTTGGACAATGAAGTGAGTGAATTAAAATAAAATATATCGTTTCTTCATCTCCCTCTTGTATTGTTGATCTATCTTTGTGGACTTTGACCAGATAAAAACGAAAACAATTTTGTCATGCTAAAATGATACGACAGAAATACCTTTTTTTTCCCTTTGTTGATAGCCAATTTACAAAAATAGAGATATGATGAAACGCGTAGAAGTTCAGAGACACGTGACCCAAGAACAATTACAGAGAATGACGTCATCATAGGTATCAAAAGACAAGATTTACGTTGAATTAAATTTCCTATCATTTTATGTCCTCTTCGTCTGAGATTTCGAAAGATGAAAGAACCATTCCTGGAGATTTTTACGATGATTTTATAATTTTCATCTTCGTCGTATTAATCTAGCAAATGTAAACATCGAATGTCGTGCCCGATTTATCTTGTCCTGACGAGGCAGAATAAAACCCAGTAGCCTGATGAAACTTCATTTGATTAAAAGGATAACATTTCCCAGAACCAAGTTTGGTGCGGTCTTGATTAATTAATATGTGACCCAAAGTCAAGTGCACTGAGACAGATGGGCGCTCGATCAAAAGTAAATCTCTCCAGTTTTCTTTACTCCGTATTTCCAACAGATCCTGAGTTTAACCATTGTTGTTTGTTTTCCACTTTCTTTGATTCCGTTCTTCTTGAGAAAGTCTTAATATTATATTCATTTTTCAAGGACCAGTCCTTATATGAATTTCAATGACAGTATAATTAAAGATTAACTGGTTGAACAAAATCTTGAAAGCTTTTACTCTGATTTGTAATAAATGTGTTATACACATTATGAATATTTTATGTATCATAAAACTTCTTGTAATAATAAGGGTTTTTCAAAATATTCCAGAAATTTTTATTTGAATTATTTCCAATTAAAAGCACCAAGAACAAAATAAGATGGTAGTAATGACACGAGACATTTTTTTATTTTAATTTAAGGAAATGGATGTTAAAACGAGGCAAATGCTTAGAATAAACTTCGTATCAGCGAAGCGTTTTATTCAAAATATTTTCTTTTGTCTTGGATCAAACCCCTTTTGTCTATATCAGAATAGATTAATTTCTTGTACCTTATATTACAATATTTATACTTCCAATTTTTTTTGTTTGTTTTATAAAATAAGATTTTTTTAAAACGATTTTTGCTATGTTACTCGAAAAGATTTACTGCAAAAATCAGATAAGAGACAACTTAAGATTTAGAAGAGTATTTAATCCCCAAGTGTGTCAACAATCAGAAATGTTAATGAAGACACGATAGTTTTACGTAGTCTATTTAGTTAAACTCCTACAGAAATATTTATCACTTTACTTAATATTTACTTGAAGAAAAAAAAAATCATTAGATTTTCTTTCCTTAAAAAAAACCGCACAGCACCTAAAATTATTTATTTTAAAAACGTACGTGAGAAAAGAAGTAATAATGATACAACTTAGTGAACAATCATTATCCCAACTTACATGTACCAGCTATACAGTCGTCCTCTTTTGCGTTACCTATATTTACAAAATTAAACATTTATGAGATAAATAAGAATAAAATAGACAAGTAAAATGCATGTAATTTTTTTCTTTTTCATTAAAAGATATGTTTTTATACATATTTTTAATTAAAAAAAAATAGCCATTGAAACCGTTTAGACATATTATAATACCTCTTCCTATAAGCCCCTTATTATTAAGCAATACTAAGTATACAAACACTGTATATGTATCTGTAATAGTGAAAGAACAGACAGCAGTATTTTGAAACAATAAATTTGACATTTGTTACAAGTTATTTCCTTTGCATAAACCACTAATGAACAATTAACAACACTAAGCGAATAGAAATGACTATCGAGAAAAGTAGTAACTTTCGTAACAAAACAATGAACAGTGCTTGACTATTCAGAAGTGATCTATTTTACCTTATAATACCATAATGACTATTATGTGTCGTGAAGATAAAAAGGCACATTGTCTCAGAGACCTCTTTTATTTAGCACTCATATGATAAAATACAGAGATTGAATGACAGAAAATGTTTTTCCTTGATGAGACTTTAACGATTGATAGTTTCCTTAAAAGAAAAAAGAAGACGGACAATCAGAAATTCATACTTTGGAAAAAAAATGCAGAACATTACCTCTCTTAATTTAGCACAACATCTGTGCAGATTTTGTTTCTACGAGAAATGGCCATTTGGTTAACTTCTCAAAGACCAAAACACAATACAATTTTTGGATAAAAATGGTGATCGAACTCTAAAATAAAAAAGGATTCAGTCAGTCATGAACATCAATATGTGCACGAATTGTCTGGCAGGTGGATAGAGACTAGGGTGTGTATTTATCAATGCAAGCAAACATACAGCGGACATTTTCTTCAGCACAATATGGCAGCAAATCAAAAGGGCTGTCGAGGAAAGGATACAAATTTTGTCCACAGCAATTTGCTTTCGGACAAGCTTTTTGGTTCTGATGTTTAATAATCGTGCTAAGTCTTCATTGTAAGAGATTTCATCGCAATGATTAATGCATAAACAATTGATAGACACTAAAAAAAATCCATCAAAATATTACCATAAAGTCAGTTCATCTGTTATTATTCTGCAGCCTGAGACTAACCCAAATACTATTTGTATCAAATACAGGCAAAAGTAGACACAGACAGGGTATATTTCAATTTAATCAAAGTATATGAAACGTGTAGTGTATATTTTTGGGTTTATCAATGAAAAATAATGACAGAAGTGTTTTTTTAAATTACACTCGCTATTGCTTTGAATATATTCAATGGAAATTCGAATCATGAGCTCCATAAGTAATACACTGTTATTATTAATAATTATAATGATGACTTTGTAAAGTTGCATATATGATTTGCGTACCCA